AGGGGGAAGAGGAGGGGGTATATGGTTATGGTTAGAGGCGTGTGGTGAGTGTTAGGGGGTGGATGGGTTAGATAGAAGGTTAGATATGGGGTAAGGGGGGGGGGATTGGGAAGGGGAGAATGGGTAGGGCTAAAGGGTAAGGGTAAAGGGTAAAGGGGGATGGATTATGGGGTGGGGTGGAGAGAGGGTAAGGGGTGGTTGAGGAGTGGTTTTTGAGGGAGAGGATTGGAATTGGAATTGAGATGTTAGATGTTGGGTGTTGGGTTTATGGGAAGGGAGGTAGAATGATAACGTTGTTAATTTGTTTGATTTGTTTTATTTTGGGGATTGAGGATTCGTTTTAAGGTGGGAGATGGAGTGGGATTGGGGGTGTGATTGCTTCAACGATAAACCTACGATAATTACTATTAGTCGCCGACTACTAGTAACTAACGATCCTGACCACTTCCGCGTGACTCAGAAGATAAGCATTCGTAACAGTAAGGTAAATCAAGATGCACCTAGGTTATCTATGTGTCAATTATATGCTTTTTTCTTTTAAGTGTACAACGTTTCGGGCCATGTAAGTCACGTAAGCTGGTAAGGCCGCTTGGCCGAGCATGTGAACAATAATCTTACTTAGGGCCAAAGCTTCAGGACCTTGTATGTGAGCTTGATAGCCTCGACTAAGATTGTTGCTAATTACATTTTTACCCGCTTAGACGCAATGCTATCAGTCCCCAATCTTTTTCGAGAAACAGGTTTCCTACCCGGCTTGCCAAACTCCGCTAATACATAAGTAATAAAAACACTTTTCTGTTTAAGATAGACGTCTTTGTTATATGTAGGGTCTAGAGCAACAGTACGAGCAGCTTGACCCAGCTTTGTAAAATGCCCCAACAACGACAAACTCATCTCAGCACTATAGCGCATTTCATCAGCCCACTGAATCTGTTCCGCTATATCTCGAATAAGCCATGAATTTCTCTTCTCCCATAACCCGAAAGTATTATCAGATCGGAATCGAGTGGATCGTACAAAAACAGTGCAAAGCACCAAAGTAAAGTAACATCAAACATCCTAGTATTTGATGTACGGACACAATTACCAAGAATTGACAACTTAGTAGTTAAACGTGTATGATGGTGAACATTGAAGTTTATCGGTAGTACTGTTTCCATCCATTTCTCCAACTTCGACTTAAGCATCTGTGACACTTTTAAATCATAATCGAATTGCTGATTTAGTTCTCGAGAATTCAAGTTGGCAAACTGTTCCTTGGCAAGCTCTTCCTCATCCGAATCCACATCGAAGTCTATTCTGATATCCTTTTCGATGTCGTCCAAGTTGGCAAGCTCTTCATCCGAATCTACATTGAAGTCTATTCTGATATCCTTTTCGATGTCGTCCAAGTTCACTCTCCTATCTGACGACTCTGATGACTCTTCACAGCCAGAGAAAATGCCATGGACCGATATACAGTTGGAACTAGTTGGAGATCGAGGCGGTGTTCCTTCAATCGTTTCTTTGAAAATGACGAGTGATGACTGAGAAAGCTGCGCTTCTGGAGATAGCTGAGTATATAGAGGCGGTGACCGAGGAACTTGTACTTCCGGGCATGGCTGAGCATACAGGGGTGGTGACCGAGGAACCTGCACTTCCGGACATGGCTGAGCATATGGTGGCGGTATTGGGCGTTGTTCCTCCTTATATACGATCTTATTCCATTCTAGTAACATAGCCCCTTGTTGAATATACATTTCCTTTAAGTTGGTTTTGCGTGCATCGGTTGCAGTTTTGCTAATATGCATACCAAGTTCTTTTAAGTTCACTTTCGCATAAGTACTTGGCCTGATGTATACGCTGAAGATTTTGGTATTAGACAGAGACTCAAGGCCACGAATCAACGTGTTTGTAGTCATAGTGTGAGGTCTGATTGGAGTAGTCCTCTTCTCCGTAACGACGAATCCCTTCGTAGTGAGATTGAATTGTATAAGGAGAACATGCTGTGCATTGCTTAAACCGGCTTCGTGAATAGTAGACACGTCGTGAGATAAACCATCGATGCTTGATATTGGACAAGGTGTAGAGGCATTTGCAAAATCGGCATCTGGAGGAACAACCAATAATATATCTCTTTGTTTTTTCTTGCCGCCAAGCATAACAAACACCTGAAGCTTAAAGTGAATATGAATCTGTCCTTCCGTATCACAATATGCATCCATGAAAAAATCGGGTGTCTGCTTGTTGTCATGCAAGCGAGAACCTAGTGTGAATGTTTTACCTGATTCATCTACCCATTTTACAAATACCCTCTCGTGAAGAAGGCCCCTTAGCTGAAGATTTTTGATCGGAACCGCTATCGACATATTTAGCCCTATGATTATAATTAGCAATGAAACGTAGTTAAAGAATAATTGCATTTAAAATAATGCTAGCCCACACTTTATGTGTGCTTCCCACCCACCCAGGCTATAGAGCAGCCTTGACTCATCGGACAAAATGAGATGTAGAAGTGATCAAGAAAAGCTACTATATGAATCGTGTTGAAGTTGTTCTAAACAGTAGCTGTTGTAAGGACGTAACCGCCGCCAGGGTTTTTCTAAACAGCAGAGACTGTAAGGACATAACCGCCGCCAGGGTTTTTCTAAACAGCAGACTGTAAGGACATAACCGCCGCCAGGGTTTTTCTAAACAGCAGAGACTGTAAGGACGTAACCGCCGCCAGGGTTTTTCTAAACAGCAGAGACTGCAAGATACAACTCTTGTACACAACGCAATATAGGAGCAGTTTGGTTGGAAAGACTGTGCTTGTATAGTCGTAACAGATGTTATGCGATAGAGATAAGGCGATATGATGGTAACGATAGGAAGATGGTGGTCGTATATTCGTAAGAGATATTGTGCGATGAAAATAAAGCGATATAAGGGTAGCAATAGGAAGATGGTGATCGTATATTCGTAATAGATATTATGTGATGGAAATGGAGAGAAATGTAGAGATGGCGATAAAAATGGAAATAAAAGAATGTAGAGATAATGATGGAAACAAAGAGAAAAGATAACAAAGACGAGCTACTTAAGTAAGCGAGACCAAATACAGAAATCAAGTGCGAGCCACTTAAATTCTTACGCGCCTCTAGTTGCTAACAGTAATTTGAATCACGTAACAAATACCTGTATATCTTCTATTCCTATATACATAATTGGCTTTTCCTTCTGATCATTGAATCTAAAAAGGTGGGATGCGATGATTCAACACCTGTACGTGGTGCATCCTACGAACCTGTAATTTTTCTTACAGAGCCAAGATTGAATCAGGCTGAAGCTGGGCTAAGGTCGTGCTTTAAAAAGGAGCGGTACTGGGAGTGAAGGTATTGTGAATTTGGCCCGGAACAGAGGACTATCAGTCGAATGAAGATGAAAACTACCTGACAATCAACGAAACAACGACGGATTTCGAAGCGGAACCACCTTTACGAATCTGTAGTGGGATGCAGAGTCTGAGAATTGCTTTAAGGAGCATTTCAAAGCGGATTGCCTTTACGAATCTGTATAGGAGCAAAGCCTGAGAAGGAAAGCGTTGTGCTGGTGATTGATAGGGCATCTCTGGGGCGTTAGCATGCAGAATTTTCATGATCCAATAATACATACAATCTGCAGGTATACTGGATTGGAAGTTTATAGGTGATTAAGGGGAATAATCGAGAATATATAAAGGTTGTGATAAAGTCTTATTGAGGTTAATGGAGATATGGGTGGATTAGGGATAGAGGGATGCTTTTGGCATTTTGCTCTACGAATATACAAGAGCAGTATTATAGCAGTAGAGGAACTCTTAAATGAGGGGGATGCTTTTAGCAAGTTTCACTCTTCTGCAAAGTATTCGGTAGATATTACGGTAACTGTGTGAACGAAGTGAATGACTTCAATTCAATTACTACTGTAATAAAGAACTAAGCGAACGCGAAAGAGACTAGCTCTTTTAGTAAGTCTATATAAGACTTACTACTTTCAATATGTAGCTAGCTCTTTAGACAGAATACAATTAGACATACAGGACCTACGTAATCCGTGGGTGCTACGTCTTCCGTATCCTTCTCGTACCAACACAAACAGTATACCAAAAAGGAAAGAATGAATTAAAAGTTGAGTTTTGTTTGCTCCTTATATGCATATGCACTATATATGCATATGCTGCCAAGATCCCAGGAGGTCAACACAATCCCTCAAAGAAAGCAATTAAAATCTACTCAATTCGAAAAGATCAAAAATTCAATTCAGAAAGACTTCGATCCTCTCACTTTAGAAGGAATCCATCATTTCTACTTTCCTCCTTGAAAGAAAGAAGTTCTATATAAAATCAATATCAGCAAATTAGGAAAAAAAGAAACTGCGATGATCCACAATCTGGCTTTCAAATATAGGTGCAAAAATACCATTACAATATACACCAATGCCTTATCCACTTTAGAGAGAATAAGGATTGGGATCAGGATAGCGGTTATCTTACCAAATGACCGAATTTCACATCAAGAGACTATCAACATAGGCGTGAATCAGCTTGTTTACAATAGTGAGCTTCTAGGAGTTACTAAAGCGATCGAATACGCAAATTCAATAGCCCAACCAAGAAACAAGTTCAAGATATACTCAGATAATCAAGCAGGATTATTCTGGTTGAAAACCCCCTCCGATTTACCTTGTCAATCATACCAAATCAAAGCTATAAAAGCTGTAGAAGCTATTCAAAATAAAGGAGCCGAAATCTCTCTCAATTAGGTCCCTAGATATATATCTATACAAGGAAATAAGCTAGCTAATTCTCTTGCAAAAGAGGCGACCAAAATACTATCCTCATCTCACGAAACTAGTTATGTCTTTATTGGAATAGATATAAAAAGAATGAAATCAGAGAACTGGATAGTTATCCTTAACACTAACAATTTTCATCAACTATTGCCAATATATTCAAGAAACTACTCTTGGAAGATCAGCTCAAAAATCAGAGTTCCAGGAAACATCAAAAGAAGTACAATCTGTGCTCTGTTCTAATTCAAAATTGGATACGGATACTTCAAATCTTATTTGAAATGATTCGGAATCTCCTTTAATGATAATTGTGAATATAAAGGAAAGGAATCTCTTGATTATCTTCTACTCAATTGTTCTATATATAAAACAACAAGGAAAACCTTCAATAAAGATAACCCTATAGTCCGATCTACTATAAAATATCTGCTTCATACTAAAGCAGGAATCATCAAGACCCTCGAATTTATCGAGGCGACGAGAATAGCTATCAGATCATGGCATCTCAATAGAATGCATGAAGAAGAAGAGGAAGAAGGCGGAGAAGAAGAGGGTGGACCGGAAGATTGAGATTGTGATTGAATTGATCAATTATGGCCAATTTGGTCAATTTAGTCAATTTGGTCAATTTAGTCAATTTGGTCAATTTAGTCAATTTGGTCAATTTGGTCAATTTGGGCAATCACCCCAATGTCAAATTTCATTACATTTCATTTGTTATTCCTCTTATTTGAATACGAGAGTATCTGTAAGGCGGGCTTGGTGCCCTAGTATTAGTTTTCACTTCCCCCATTCAAACATTAGAAGATTGAGGCTTTCAATCTCCCCAACCTGTATTAGCTATGGTCGAATAAGGCCAGCTACCCTTCATTTATTATTGTTAGAAGCCTACAAAGCTCCTAGCCGTCTTAGATAGTCATAGACTCAGTGTAGACGTTAATTTAATCAATCAATCAATCAAGAGCTGGTTTGAGGATACTTCGATATTTCAGAGAATAAAAGGTATGATACTATACCATAGTCTAGTTAGATGATCACCTAATAACAGTCACAATCCCATCAAAAGCACAAAGAAAATCCATAAACTGAAAGCACCCAATTAATTTTATTTTCCCAGCTTTTATTCTCCACCTAGGTATATATATATATGTATATGGTATATGTGATATTTACAAACTCCATTTTCCAACTTTCCCAATATAATATAAAAAATTACAAAAATTACTTTTTTTTATAAAAAAAAAAAACAATAAGTTATACTTGATCTGACCCACGATATAAATCATCCCTGTTGATTAAATCATGTAGGTAGCATCATAGTAAAACTCATTGTAGAAATCAGGACCCAAGACGTCAGTAATGCCAATAGCACCATTCATCTGAGAGCCGAAAATAGCTCTTGGTAGTCCTCCCATCCATTGACTTCCTGGACCCCAGTTGTTGAATCTAGAAAGGTTGTTAGTGAATCATTCCAATTTGAAAATACGAAAATACAAGAAAACTCACTCTGCAAAAGTAACGTTATCGGTTTGTGGTGTCGAAGTACTCCATACATCCCAACCAGCCGCGGCAATGTTGTTTCCCAAGTAACTGTTCTGGAAAACAACTCTGGCGAAATCTCTCCATGGTCTTCCGAGATAGTTGATGTATGGTGTAAGAGTATCGTTGAGGTTGGCAATGTTCGAATTGTTGATAACATACCAAGAATTGACATCTGCGGATTTACGTCCAGAGGCAGTAATGGAACCTTTTCCAATCGTGCGGATATCATTCTTTTCGAACCAGGCGAGTGCTTTCTCACCAAAGATGAAATCAATGGCTCCTACAATGAGACATTTGGAGTAGAGTTGGAAACCGGATTCTGCGAGAACGGTGTCTTGGTATCCCCAGAATTGAGTTGCGTAAAATCCGACGTTGGTGGCGTAGGAAGAGAGAGCAAGATTTTGTCCATTGCTGTTGATGTGACCGAATGTGTTTTCGATGATCAAGTTGTATACCTTGGTATTGTTGTTGTGGGCGCGGAAGGTGGCGGTTAAATCATCCGAGGTGGTGTTGATGAGTGCAAGGTTGTAGGTGATGGTTGCTTGGTTACCTGAATAATCACGAGCATCTTCGGTATAACCTTGGATCGTAAGGTTTGATACAAGTGGTGGGAGGTAAACTTGCTCAAAGTAGGTACCGGGAGCTATGAAAAGGTATTGATTGTCGGTAGTGTCTGCGTCTAATGCATCAATACCGGCTTGGACTGTGGTGTATGAACCGCTGAGTTTGCCAGTCTGATCGACGACAATTGCGCCAGATGGAGCAACAGTGCGGTTGAATGAAGTTGCACGGCTAATTAGAGTAGGGCTAGCAGAGACGCTTCCTAGCAAAGAAGCTGCTAGGGAAAGGATTGCAAAGGAACGCATGATTGAATAGTTTATTTAGAAAGCTTGACTTTCAATGTAGTTGCTTTCAAATTTGCGATTGAAAAAACTATTCTGAGAAGGACATATTCTTATATATTTAAAAAGATAAGAATCCTAATAGACGACAAGGGGAAGTGAGTAACACCCATGACCCTTTCATCTTACACTCTGATTGGTGCATGAAAGTCTGATACCCCTGCATAACGGAAATTCTCCTTTATCTTTATCAGTAGCGCAACTGGCGCCGTTGAACTTTGAAGGGTAACGGTTGATGAACTGATAGTGTAAATTGTAAGATCTTACCGAGTAATCTTAATTTGACTAAAATGAGCAAACAAGTAGAAGCCACTCTATACCCATAGTAACTCCGAAATTAGAAACCCCATATATCTTGGGCTGCTTGAATGGAAATGCACCTACTCGAATACTGCATTTAAAGAATTGCATCATAATTACACCATGCATGGCCGTAATATAATAACGTTTATTCGAATTCTTTGCAGCTGGTCTTGTTCACTGAGCGAAAGAATAATAAGAGTTTGGTATTGGATACCAATATGCTGGTACCAGTGCCTGTACCTAGGTATTATTAACCTCCTTCATATTGTTGTGTTCCTGGTCGTTTCGAATATCCTGCAAGTTCATGCTCCAACCAAAGGCTGGAACTTTGGTAGAGCGGGCATTGTTCGGTGTCTGAAAAGCCTGTGGCTATGTAATGAGTCCATCGAAAGAATCGAGGCTCTGCATACTTGCATAACCGAGACATTTCAAATTGCATGCTCGTCGTCGATAGAAATGAAGTTGCAAATTGAAATTTCAAAACGAACGGAGGGTCCGGTGGCACTTTCGCATGGCACAGGCATTCCATGACATCCGATATCCAGAATATATGGATATGGCCCATAATTTTGAGTTGACCACAAATCTCCTTGTAATAAGACTATTTCATGTAGGGTATTCCGTACGCGTCTCGCAGAGTTGTCCTGTCACCAGAGTAGATTAAAAGCTCCGACGAAAAGCAGCCATCTAGATACTAATTAGGCTTTTGCATTCTGGGATAGATCCTAACCGGGTTATTTCATTGTCAAAATCTCAACCTTATTACCTGAATGTATGTGCTTTTTTTGAGTCGTTCATCCGGATGTTGTTATATTTTTGGTATTAATTTCGTGGAAAATCTTAATATGCTTTTCGAATACGATGGATGAGTGGAAGTGTTTGACGTTCTAGCGCATAACTCAAACAAATCCGGTATCTACCGAACCAGAGCCCACTAAGAAATGGTGGCAGCAGGGCTGCTATGTTTTCAAAGTCGGTAGATAGAGGGGCAGATGAAAATTAAAAGGGACGGTAGTCATGGGTACTACCACCGCCATAGTAACATTGTCGAAATATCGAAGTATCGAAAGATCATAAGAGGTTAAGCTCAAGGGGAAGCGGTCAAACTACACGCCGTTCCGAAACCCATCGGAGAAACATTGAAAGCGGGGGTGTGCCGAGGTCATCCCTTCTCCAACTATAAACATCACAACATCTCTTCAATTCACGCTCTATATACTCAGAGGCAGCAGGATATGCTGTATATCTTCCAGCTGTGTACATTCCATGCCGAATCTGTCCATCTTTTAATGTCAAAATGATTGAGATAGTGCAAAGACAGCACGAATGTATCCCGCTCAAACCAAGCAGTTTAGCGATTTGGTTGGCATTGGAATCAATACTTCGATTGGTGGAAAATCCAACAAAGCTACAGATATCTTTTAGGCGTTGCTCTTGGATTGTGATCAATTATCATTCACCCTTTTTGGTATTTGCATCCGCACTGATGGCTTGTTCTTGGCGTGGCGGGCGCGGCCTAGGATCATCTCGCATAGAATGTCACAAAGTAATGGCATGAACTTCTTTTTCTTTGACTGGCATGCTGAATACTTTGCTTGATTTGTTATTTTATACTTTTTAAATGCGTCGTTTTGAGTTGTGGGAATTTAGGTTCAATAATGATGTTGTTGGAGCGAGGCATAGGAAAAAAACTTGGCTTCTCTGAGCAATTCTTTCATATTGCCGAAGGTCTACATGATTGGATCTTACTCGTCCCAAATATGAAATGGATGTTGCTTTAGTTGAAGAGTAGATACAGAGTATATCTTAGTCCTAGGCATCCGGAGCTTTACTGTGTGGGTGGCTTGGTATATGCCTCCAGATCATCATCCATTAAGGTTAAAGGAGATATATGACTTGGAGTTATTGGCAAGTAATTATTATTGACGAATAATTTATCCGGTATTTCTAACTGAGATGTCAAATTGCTCGGTCGACTTCTGAAGCATGGATATTGCTCAGCGAGATCCGAAAAGGCCTCATGTGTACGAGTGCCTAACATTGGAATACTTAGAGATCGACCTCTGCGGTCAAAACACAGAATTCGGAAACAGATTAGTGATAACATAATGTTCACCACTATGTACTGGGTATGTCAATTGCTTCTACCGAGAAACTTCGAAGTAAGCTACCGTTCATAGGCTACTAACGAAAGCTTCAAGTACATTTTCCCTCGTCATAATGAAAGCACCACACATCCTTCCTTCCCTTCTGGTGTTACCCCATATTGCGAAACCATCAAAGTGTTTTCTTCCGTCCAATCTACCCCTTTCCTCCACACTCTGAATCGTGCTGCCAGCTCCTAACAGCCACGCATCGTAGGATCAACCTCCGGGTATTGAGCTCGATAGCGATTGTCAAGATCAGACATCATAATGACTTGTGGAGCATACCTCGCAGTAACCCTACCAGCACCTGTTGTCGATGATGTGTACTGACGAATAATCTCGGCCCGCAAGCACTTCATACAATAGCTACCATTCAATCCAAAGTAAAGCAGGGTAAGATAATTGCCACAACATCTGCATAACCGGGGATTGTCGAGTGGGACCCGTAAGAAGTTGATAGAGTGACCAATGTCAGTAGCTATCATCGAGGCAGTCACCTTTCCGTCACTCAAAATGCTTGGCTTCAGATTCCTTAATTTTGTCTGATCATGGAGTTGTATAAACCGTTCGAGAAGCTCGCGATCGCTCATGTCGAGAAGTTCTGATGCGTCCATGCGGCTCCATGCCAATTCTCGATCGCGCAAACATTCATCGTACTGATATTGGAGGTTTGGATATCGGCCTTGGTCTTGAATAGCTTGAAGGAATTCGGCTTGGTGGACTCGGTCACCGATAGCAGTAGAAAGATTAAAAGCAGCAATGCGTCGTTTGGCAATATTGAAAATGATCTTTTTAGATACGTCGATTCAGCGGCGGCAGCAGCTCGAACTCGAGCGTGATCGAACACAACAAAACCCGCACATATAGCGATGTTCAAGAAAATGGCCACGCCCATGAGAATGATGATAAGTTTATCTCGAGGCATCTTGGTGTTCGCTGATGTTGAGCCTTGTTGAATAGTCTTGGAAGGGTTTGTTGATTGCTGTTGCACTTTTGGAAGTTCGCCACAAAGAGGAGAAAAAACCAGAGGTGTAAGATCGATGGATGGACCCGGACAATCAGTTCGCTTTATAAAGTATAAAGGTGAGGCAAACTTCAGATCACCTTCAATCTGAGAAGTTTGAGGTGATTAGATGGTGAATTTAGCTCTGGTATTCTTTTTGTTCTTTTTTGAGGCTACCCTCGCTGCTTTCCTTTGATTTTGTCGCTTCACGTTTTTATCATCCCATGCTTGTTGGATATTTAGTAAATAAGCAACAAATTGAGCGTGAGGTAGCCTTTTAGCGGGAGCGTAGCGGAAAATAATTTAGAAACAAGTGTTTATAATGGCGCGAAAATTTTCACAATTTACAAAAGTCCGAGGGACAAAAAGATGCCATGAAACTTGATCGACTAGTCGAGATTTTCTTGAGATCTGTGAGTTTGTCCGTTGATACCAGGTTGATCAAGGGTCTGGCTGAGGATCTGTTTCGTGTTTACGAATTTCGTGAGAGAGGAGAAATAGGGTGCAGAGTTGTAGGAACGATGTTTCTGAGGTTCATTATTTTATTTCATTATAGCTCAGGGGTCTTTTAGGTCTTTCACGATCGCAAAAGTTTGTGAATAGTTATGTGGTAATTCTACTGCAACTTTATTAACCGAGTGCAATGCCGATTGATTCTTAGCTGCAAACATGATGCTCAGTTAGAATACTGTGCAGTCATGCTACATTTTTGCTCAAAGAGTACTAACACTATATACTGAAGACAACGCGTTTTCGCCACATATCTCAACCAGATATTCATCCGACCTTAGCAAATTCCCCTCATCATCGATACTTCATCACCAACCCAACTAGGCCTCAAGCCCACCAATTAGCTGCCCCATTACTCGGAAAGTCCTCTTTCCTTGTTGAGCGACCCGTACCCGCACCACCCCATCTATCACGTCTTCTTCGTGCTTCCAAAACCTGAACACCTACGTCTCCCGAAGGACTCATTCTATCCGACGTTCTCCGTACTCCTTCGATCCCACTACCCATATGTCCCGCAACATCCAACTCCCGCGTCCTCTGTTCCTCAGCAACCGCATTCACAGTATTTATCTCGCGTCTTCTCCCTGATCCAATGACCTCTCTGATCCAATGACCTGCCTGATCCAATGACCTCCCCATCCCTGTCGATAACCCGTTGAATAGTTCCTCTGCAAAGTGGACAGGTTACTCGCTCTACACATACATTTACTCTTTTTTGCTGTGTCTGTATCCAGTATTGGATACAGCCGAGGCAGAATTCGTGATGGCATGGATATACGAGTGCGAATTTTGGAGGAGCTGGGAGCGGGGAGACAGATGGTGCAGTTTGGGGGATTGGTGGTGGTGGAGGGCTTGGGGTATTGTGTAACGTGTGTTGAGATTGTGTTGGGGGATTTTGTGCTTGTTCTCTGCGGTGAAGGGTGACTGGATGGGGATCCTGCTCATTGTTGTTGATAGCGGAGACTGGATTAAAACCCTGCCCATTGTTGTTGATAGCGGAGACTGGATTGAGACCCTGCCCATTGTTGTTGCTCAAGGATGATGATGGGCTGAAATGACCGCTGTCTCTTACACCACGCGGGTTGTCAAAAGACAACTCATTAATACTTCTTGGATCATGCATATGTCCCAAGGGAGGAAAACTAGGAGCCATATGCATTTGAGTTGAATATCTCAAACTAAACATTCTGATATTCCTGGTCAAAGATGAGGAAGGTGGACTGGGACTTGGACTAGGAACCATTTGATTAAGGTAAAAATGGTGAATTCCCGAGATTTTCCTAGCCGTGTAATCTGCGGTCCCATTTAAGTGACTGCTGTTTATTGGAATGAAAGGAGGACGAGGGCCGTTTGGAGCCATTTGATTTGAGAAATTTTGACCATATGTTCCCATATCGTCGGCTGTGAATGGTGCTGGCTGATGCATGTGGTTATTGTGTCTGGGAAGATGCCCGACGGGAGGTTTACTGGTATATATTTCATTTGGGGTGTTTTGAGCTGACCCTCCAATACGGCCTTCCATGTATAGTTGGCATTGCCTTAACCGGATTCGATTTCTTGGAACGTTGGGAGTCCCTTCTGCGTTAAAAGCCATTTAGTCGATGGAGTTCGTTGATACTCTCCACTTGAGCACACGAAATTCGATGGTTTGTTTGGGATTTCTGGATAAAAATGGGAATATAGAATTGTAGGGGATTATGGTTAGAAAACCTAGTGACTGCTTGGGTTGAGCGACTTAAGTTAACTCGTAATGTAGTGCATGGAAGATGTTGTTTGTCTTTCAAATTCCTCGATGAGCGGAGCTCTTAAATATTGTGTAAAGTTGCACGGTCGTACGACTGTATCATACGCGAGTTTTCTATCATGTGAATGTGTGCGGTGAATCTACAGCAATCGGCCTTGCTAATTTATTATTTTTATACGGTAGCAACGTGATCGGGAACGGAAGTCTTGTGGTGGAATCAATAATTCTACCTCGTACTGGTCTTGGCAACAGTTAGAATTCACTCGGTCGAGTGTAGCTTCATGATGGTATATAATTGTCATTTTGGATACGGTGATACAAGAGCATCAACCCAGACTAGTGTTATTTTTGTCGCGAGATTCGTAGTGGATGGATGGATGCTATGCTGAAAAAACATACAGCTATTTTTCAGATTCGTCTTTCTTTGAAACCTGAATAGGAATTTACGTTCATATTTTGCCATCTGTAGAGCAGTCACGATAGATCCACGTCCAAGTGAGGCTCCATGTTGCCAAATGCTCTTTTAGCCAGTGTAATCAGATTATTTTACGGATTAGATGTGCTCTCCTTTTTTTAATTTCGATATCGACTTAATCAATACGGTTGAGATAATCATGACTAATTTTGATAATCTATCGCCGCGAAGTTACTTGATTGATAAGTTACGGTGAATAGAACAGTTCTCAGATTGAGAAAGACGTGTGTATGAACCACAGCAACAATACCGTAGAGTATTAAGCAATGCTGGTTGCATGAAACTTCTTTTATAAAGATCCATCTATTTCACTAGAACGTTCCATTTAGTATATAATTGATCAACCACGACACTGCCATAAAACTCACGTCCGAGTTTTTGACCCAAAGAAATAACCAGGGGCAGCAAGAATTCGACTCGCATACTTTGTGACTGTTGATTATCACAACCAAAATCACCTCTTGATCTATCATCAATTACTACACCCCCACTATTGGAATTTGAATCATAGGAGAAACTAAAACACACAATGGGTGATCAACAACCAGAAGATGATATAGACCTACCAAACACAACTCCTGAATTCCACATTGCGCGCCAACACCTGGAAAATCGCCTAGCAGCTGAAAGAGAAGCACCTCCACCTTTTCCAAATATTCTCGAACCCCCTCTTCAAGAAGACGGTTTACCAATCCCTCGCAATAGACAAATCGAGCAACTTGAAGATGTAGCACTACCCCACGTATACAGCCTCCTCCTTCAATACGCAGAAACACCCAACCTTCCCATTTCCGTGCAACACCTTCGAGATAATCTATGGGCACTCATGCACGATGAAGATATTCCCTGGCCCGAAAATCTTGACTTCCCATCAGTCTTTCCCGAACTTGAACTAGCCGCTCTACAGGAAATCCAATATCATATCCGACGACTTACACATGAACGTCTTCGTGATCCTATTCCCCGCGACAATGCTCCTAATACCCCAGAGTGGATTTTAGCGCTTTTTCCGCGTCAGCTGCCGCTTGGCCAGAGGAATGCTGAGGATATACCTATTTGCGCTATTTGTATTCAGGAACTCCCTGCGAGAGTCTCGATTGCTAGGCCGTGCAATCATTGGTTTTGTTCACCGTGTTTGGATGAGTGGATTAGATGCGGTGAGGAAGGTGGTCGTGAAGTTAAATGTCCGATTTGTTTTGTGGGGATTGTGAGGATTGGGAATAATGGGGAGTCGGGTCATCGAGTTGGTGAGTTTTTAGGGTGGGATTTTGAGAGCATTGTTTGAGCATTTGTATTAGAGCTCGTGGAAGACTGAATATGGTAATGGGGAGGTTTCGATCAGTTCATGAAAAGCTACTGACTTTACTGTTTGTTGCGGGCGTGGTTTGGAGTTGATGGAACTATGGCAAGCAAGAAGATTTTCCAATAATCCTAGATACATTACAGTTAGTATGAAGAGAATAGGAAATAGTAGCAAGTTACTTTCTAAATACGAGACTTAGACTTTCTTGATTGGTGTTAGTTAATTAAGATTTATGCTAGTCTAGCATATCATTGCCTTCATTTTCGCACACGTAGGACTTACTTCTCCCTAAAATTTTAATCTCTTTTCGCTTCTTTTTTCTGACTCTGTGGTCAACAGATTTTCACATAAGGTTAAAATTTATACTCACAACTTCCAGAACTCTCATCAAAGAGATATGTGAATATAATACGTAAATACATCACCGCTTTATTAGGTATTGACCACGCCAAGTCGCTCCGTCTAATCTTACTATGTTGATTGCATCATACACTCAGATTCTTTCCGACCAAGATGGTTGAAGCACAAAGATAACATTTAGTATACTATCTAATTTAACCTGAGCGAGCGAAATCAAGGTTCGACGAAAAGTAGGCAGTTGCGTAGATAATATTATAGATTTTATACTTATTTAGAGTGTAGGGTCATTATTTTATATTAGTGGATTATCTCTCTCTTCCAGAACCTAAAGGATGTAATTCGGAGGGTTCAGGCTCCCTAAGCTAGAGATTATGGGACTAAAAAGTGAATGAATAAATGGAATTTGGTATTGAGATTGCAAATAAGTAATAAATTGTAAGCTGGGTACAACTGCTAGCTATGATACAATTTTTAAAAGGCAGCAGGCACAGGAGATAATGAAATGATGTGAAGCTGTGTGCTAACAGCGGTTCAGCATAGGCCGATTCGCCACGAATGAAAATATTCGGAAATGTAATTCCATATGTAGTATATATAATTTTCGTTTTTAGAAGTCACAGTTCTATATCAAAGTCAAAGGTATATAAATTTCGTATTGAGAAGAAATGAATGCATAATTAGCTACTCATTTTAATTACACATCACGGTACCGAATCTGCGACTACTCCTTCTCCTGTGAAGAGTAGAGAATGCTAATTTTGCTTTTCTTTCGAAACTCTTGGCCAATAAGGCCTCGAAATTTGGAATCGTAGATTTAGTTTGACAATTCTTATGTAGCTATTGATGAATTTGAAATTAGATGCAGAAGAAAGTGAGTTAGATAGATTGGGGAAAGAGGTCATCATCAGCGAAAAGACTAGAAATAGAATCGTGATAGGCTCATGCCATACTGCTACAGTGGATAAATAACCTTTCCGCGTACTATCCGAAGATGAGAACTGAGGAAATATCTGAACGTGGATGCTTGTTGGGTAATACTGTGTTGCCCAGCGCCTGTTAACCGAATAAATATACTGTAGTGAAGTACTAGGTACAATTAGATATCCTTATATTGACCATGTGTACTAAAAAGACCCTTATCGGATATTGAACGGAAGTTTCCAATAAAAATCCACAGATGGGAGCCTTGTATTCCGAAAGTATGCAAAAATCAAAAATTTTAATCTAGCGAACTAAGCTAAAATGAAGCTATTCACTAGTATAACATCACCCTCAAATACACATGTTTATATAATTTTGAATTTCACCAAATTCACGCATCTAATTAAAAGTCTCAAGGTCAAATGAATTATCAGATACGTTTAAAGCCATGCATTAATAGGAACACTGTTTCTACTCATATCTAACTCGGATGCCTCAATACCAGAGCTAGCAGTCCGTCCATAGCTTCAAACTCTCGCTTGCTAATCCGATCAATATGCTAAGTGTCTAAGCCATTGAGCTAGTCCCTAAGCTATGAAATTTTCGTCTACTCCCTCACTTCAAATAAATACCAAAATGTTCAGCTAATTTACCAATCTTTAAAAGCCATCCATCCCTAGCTTAACACTCCTAAATTTCGTCCATCTCCAAAGCCAGGTACAAGCTTGAGCGCTCCCAATGTCTTGTCCATATGAGTATTGAAAGTAGAGAAGATTGAGACAACATAGAGGAGGCGTCGATGTGTAAACAAAATCAATTCTATGCATTGGTTTCCAATGCCTTGCTAGTGTATACGTACAACCATTCGCCATAAACCTTCTCCCAAGACTGTTATTTGCCCTTAACCATATACCAAATCCCATAACCCTCGAAGTATCCTCCAACCTCTACTCAGCTACCCAAACAGCAGCCATACCCATGCCAGTTCCAACACACATACTAGTTACACCAACCTTTTGCTTTGTCCTTCTCAATTCATACAATAATGTGCTGACCTGTCTTGCTCCGGTACATCCAAGGGGATGTCCAAAAGCAATGGCACCACCCTTTGGATTGATTTTCTTTTGATCAAGTCCCAACTCATTTGCGCACCAAACACATTGACTTGCAAATGCTTCATTGATCTCGAAGATGTCTACATCATCCTTGTTGATACCGGTCTTCTCAAAGACCTTAGGAATAGCAGCCCAAGGGCCAATACCCATAAGGAGGGGAGGTACACCTGCAATGGATGCCGCAACGTATTTACCAAGGATGGTTTGGCCAAGTTTCTCCGCTGTGGAACGCTTCATCAAAAGGACTGCGGCAGCTCCATCTGAGATTTGAGAAGCATTTCCAGCATGGATGCTACCGTCCTTTGCGAAAGCAGGCTTAATCTTGCCTAAGCTCTCAGCTGTGATACCTGGTCGGATACCATCATCCTTGGCAACAGTTATTTCCTTTGTTTCGCCAGTTTTAGGGTCCTCCCATTTAACAGTCAAAGGGGCAATTTCCTCATCAAAAAGACCATCTTGTTGGGCCTTGAGTGCCTTTTGGTATGATGAAGCTGCGAACGCGTCCTGTACAGCGCGAGAAACACCCTTGTTTTTAGCCATCGTCTCGGAAAGAACGCCCATAGGCACTTTGCAGTTTGCGGACTCTGGGTGAGATTCGAGAAGTTCCGAAAATTCTGTTACGGCGCTAGGTCTGTGAATTTACCATTAGCTTAATTTTGCACATAAAATGAAAAAGCGAGTAAGCCATACCCGTATTGTAAACTCATGCTTTCGACACCTGCACCAACACCAACATCAATCATTCCACTCTTGATGGCATTCGCGATATCTACGCATGCTTGTAAACCAGATGAACATTGTCTATTCAAGCTCTTGACCGCCGCAGATACAGGAAATCCTGCAGCCAAAGCTGCAGCACGGAACTCCGTAGCGCCACCTCCGGGAGGAAGTACAGAACCAACAGCTATGTCTTCAACCAGCCCAGGGTCAATTTTCGATCGTTCAATGAGAGATTTGAAAGCGCCAACTAGTAAATCTGCTGCTGCTGTATCTTTGAATCCTCCTTTGCCACCCTTTGTAAATGCGGTACGGAGACAAGCTGTTACGACGACCTGGAATGGAGAATGTTAGCAAGGAGCTAAGATACGCTTTCTGGAGGGAGTGGTTGGTCATACATCATCCGGATGCTTTTCTAAAAGCTTTGCGCGGCCGCCATCACCTACTATTGGTGTAATAGAGGCCTGGGGTGCGATAGAGCTCCGCGAGCCAGCCAAATGGCTAGAAACTTGTCCAAGTCGGTTTTGTGCTATAGTCATTGTCAGCCCTCGTTTGCATTCCTTTGGTTGCGATGGACGCTTACCAGCTGACATGTTGGCAATGTAGATATCTTATGTGTTGTATGAAAAAAGCTAATCAATGCGATGAGGAGTACTGGACAAAAAGGTTAAGTTAATATATGAAAAGAAAGAAAGGAAGAGGTATGTCGGGGTCGGAGATCAATAGATAGACAGATGTGCTGAGGATGCCTCGGCAGGAATTCGACCAATCATGGACGCTAACGGCGATTTTACACTCACATGCTTTTTCAAGGTTGGTCTTAGCCGAAAGCAGAATTTATGATTTTGTAATAATTGTTAAGTTTAGGTAAATCATATACTCAAAGGGGTATCATTCTTACATACTCACATACGCTCGATCAAAGCTGGATTGTTATTGGTAATTCGCATTGATTGGTTTATCAAACTGGGACGTTTCACCCCATGCAGAGAGAATCTGCATTTGACATGTGAAATGTTGATGTTCAATTCTTTCATCGTACACCGGGTGTGATTTTAGTGACTCAAGAGACTTAAGCGAGATTCCGCTGGTGTGCATTTAAAATAATGACTATGCACACCTCATACAGAGGAGGGGAAGAACTCTGAGGAATGATTCTTGCACTTCCTCGTTTTCACCGTCGTAAGTCTTGTCACGACTGAGTTTAGTATGGTCGAGTATAACTTATAAACCTTTGTTTTTGAATCTTAACGAAGAATATTTACGAACCTGTCTGTCGATTTTGGAATTTTCCTTGACTTCTGTGATAATTGGTCGTCCCGATTTGATCCATCCAAAGTTGCAGTGCAGCGTCCATTTCTCAAATTTAAGGCCATAGGGGAGGAGGACAGCCTGGAGTTGTGGAAGATTTGGCTGATTAAGGTTGTACTGCTGCATTTGGAACATGACTCCCAATATATCGACATCTTTGAAACTATTCAGAATGTTCTTCAAGTTGGTTAAGAGTTTGGTCGTTCGGGTGGTCTCTTCACGGGCTCTTTCATGATCTACAGAATGGTACATGACCTCGATTTGAACTCTCCTCATGCTCCAAGTATTCAGGGAGCCGTGCTAGAAGGGGTTTGTCGCCAGTGCTTTGAGTCTGCTTTTGCCGATTGTTGTTGATGGTTATAACCAGGAACGCTCCTTCCTTCTACATCTTTTAAGTCGTCACACCTTTGAATCTGCGAAGTACCCCGCATCCTGCTCGGCTCGACTGAGTTATTCTTACGCTTCGTCATCTTTCTGTCGAAATGTGCCTACTTTTATGATAATCAGGATGCTCCGATATTACCAGAGAGAAACTGTTGCGCCTCAACTCCGACTCGCCGTTCTGATTAGCTACAACATTCCAGAATCTGAAGTGTTGAAATTCTTATAAACACAGAATTCTCAGAAGTAACGAAGCATTTGGCCCATAGCGGAGGCACAACACCATTCGACCAAAATAGAATGCAATAGAGCATTTCGGCCAAATATGCAAATTCGATCAATTGACTTGTCTGCAACAAGCTCTTGCTAGTACTTTCCATACTTTTTAGATCAAGCTCTTGTTTGGGAGAATCATTTCAGAAACAGTAAACACATCATCCCTGTATGAAGCAAAACTGCAGGCAAGGCAACAGGCAATGTCAGACATAGTTCTGTGGTGTTTGTTGCCAAGCCTTGGTTAAACACCGGTCCAGGCCACATAGGTTCTTTGACGGATTTGAAAACATTTTCGGAGCAAACTCTGACAAAGGTAGCTTGACCTTCGGGAAACCGTTTGACTTCCATATACTCAATATTTGCGAAGTCCTCGATGCCCCATAGCAGCAAGGTAGATCGCAACTTCGCCTCTTACCATCCCATCGAAGCTTTGCAAATATACGCGCATCGTCTTCCAAAATTCTAAGGTATAGCCGAAACAATCAAACTTTGACAGTGCTGTTCCATCCCTTGATCTCCACTAACAATGGACCTTTAAGTACAAGTTGATGGTTGCTGGAAGTTTATTTAACACGAACGACAGAGACAATGGTTTAATGTAGCAACTCGTTCCTGTCAATTCGAGTGGGTCTTACAATTAAGACTCGAAAAACCAGTCGCACGCTGTGGTAGGAAGTAGTTGGCTTGCATCGAGGATTTGTCTGGTGAGTAACTTTTCTACGAGAACGCAAGGGAACTACTGTATCCGTAGACCCGACGTTAATAAGTCGTGGTGGGAGCAGAAAGCATTATACGCGGCTTTCTTGCATTTTGGGTGCGGCGCAAGAATCTATTTAGAATTTTGGCCTGGGCTATTGATTAAAGGACTTGTTTGCAACACTTCTTGAGCAGACTACGGAATTCAAGGTCCTTCTGTATGATGCCGTCAAGTGCTTGGTTGTTTTCTTTGGGCGCGTTGGTACTGAAAGGATGTGAAGCTAGTAGAATTTCAACACAATATTCCGGCAAGCTCTTTCATCTGATTTGAGTTCCTGCTATCGTCCAATGACTGTTTTTGTACCAATTGTTACAGATAAGATGTGGTAGTATTTCATTGTGCCTTTAAATGCCAACTTCTCGAGTGCTCCTAGGATGGTTTGGAAAAAGATTCCAAAGAGAGAGGGATCCTATGGCGCGAGGGGCACTAAGCAGTCCAAATTGGACGGTAGCTATTGTCAAGTAATCTTGTCAACAAGTTCCTGATCCTTTGACTCCAAGTTTTGTGAGTATTTCCACCTAAATCCCCTATTTTTTTGGGCTTTCGCTCAAATCAAATGGAAAGTTCTAGTTCCTTTCCAGCTACTAAGTAGTGGACTCTATGTGATTTCGAATGTGGAAACACGATTGCCATTGTATAGTCAAGTCTCAAATCTTCCCGAAGAACATACCGTATGTTACATGCGAAGAAACGTTGAAAAGACTAAGACATCTTCATCTGAAACCAACGCTCAAAGAATGATGCATCAAGCATCTTGGAAAAGTCCATCTTTAGTTCGCTGGATATAAATCCTTTCTAGCGATGTTCCAGAACTATCCAAAGACGAGTTATTTCTGAGCGGCGCCCATACTCTACCTCGCTGCTCTCGACGCTCCTATTGAGTAAGATATGGAGCCATGATAGAAGACTGAAGGGTATATAGCGGGAGTGATTCCCGTCCCATCCCTACAACGATTAACCTCATTTCCTGACTGAAAACAACTCCTTCCCAAGAATAAAATAAAATTCTCACCATAATGAGCTGGCGCAACAACAGTCGCCACCAGAGCGACATCGACACTGACAACTCGTTTTCAGAGATTGAATTCGAAACTAATGGTCGGGCCTTGACGATTGAATTTGATTACGAGAACTCCGATGTTGAATCCAATCTCTCGAATTATGCATCCACAGCACGAAAGATATACTTCAACCTCACCTTCCCAACACGAGAAGACTATTCTGGCAACGAAAGAATCAAGTATGAAATTGAGGAGATTATCAGGATCCTTAACGACGAGTTTATAAATCTCTCTAACATCGAGGTCACATTCCGTCTAGAGCGAAAGCACCTCGGTCAGCTTGCATGCGCGCTCCCCTTTCGAAAAATCCACAACCGCGGTGCGACGTTTAAGTATTACGTAGAAGGGCAGTTTCAAGACAGTGTCCGGATGAACTCGCAATGGTTTGAACAACTTGAAGATGAGGATAGTTCGGAGAACTACATTTATTATTATGAAAGCGATTGTGAGTCGGATGAGGATATAGCGTATGAGTACACAACGGATGATGATTCGGACTAGGCTCAGTTGAATAGGGTCGATATTCCAGAGGTGGTTGTCAATATCACTTGGTTGTTGGGCTGGGTTATTTCATGTAATCAGCAGATTAGAAAGGATATGGGTGGCTTCTTGGATAATACAGAAGAATTTTCTCCATATTATGGTGTGGCTTCTCACATGTGCTGATACAACCTCAATCGACGGCTCTCATTGACATGCAGCTATCAAGGTTTTATTTTAGCTAGCATTTGCTTCTGGAAAATCCGAGTCTTCAATGTTATTTGTGCAACTATTTTGATGTAATTCATGGCGAATGGACTACTCTAGGTTTAGTTGCTCCGAGATTGTTTCAAATTGTTCACTGCCAACTGAAGGAGAATGTTAAATTATCTCAGCTTGCTGGAATCAGAGTTAGACTTGATGAACTAATGTCTAATTTGTTGATTGATTGTGTTGAAAACAACGCCTTTTTACGAACTTGATGTGAGATGCCGGTGCGATTTCTTGATGATAGATAGTAAGGGAAAGCCGAGTAGTATTGGCTCACCCGAAGCATTTATTTCCAGAACCTGCAAGTACTTACATAACCAACACAAATTAATTTGCATAGTGGAATTCTTGGTGTCCACATGTGTGCTGCTATGTTTCTTGCTCGATAGGGCTCTACTAGGAGCGTATTCAACGAATGAACGATTGATTACCACATAAGTATATGGTACGTAGATTATAGAAAATTCACCAGACTTTCCAGTTCTACAAGATGTTTTGCAAAGGATAGAAGAGGTAATCTTTTCGTATGGGGCTAGGACCTTGATTTTGGTGTCCACGTCTTGCTCCGCCGCTATATGTAATATTCATAGCCTTTTGAAAGGCAGTTCCTAGAGGTAATCATGAAATTGATTTTATGAAAACGATAGCCTAAAAACCATGTCTCCTATCCATAGCAATTGTCCCCATCTCGCTATACGCTCAACAGCGTGGCCATACGAATGTTCGCTCGACAGAATGCTGCCCCCAGTACAATCTTACAACAATAATATGACCGATTTTCCAACCAATAAACCTCCTATAAACATGCTCGCTAATTTTTTGACCCAATTCCAATATCCCGTTTCATACTCTGCCGTTTAATTTGACAGTGTTGAAGTTTTGAATAGCCGCGGCATCATCGTATGTGTGATTAGAGACAGAGATATCCTCATTTTGACTATCCCAATTTTTATCACATACCCAAGGAACTTCGCAGCTAAGCTTGGATTCTCAGGCAAATCTTTTCAGGACAAAATATCGAAGGCAGTGTTGAAATCAAGGCCAAAGATCTCGCAGGCTAAAATCTCTGGCAAACATGCGCCTAAATCTAGCACATTCTTTCATTAATGCATTCCTTTCGAAATGAGCTCTCAGTGATACATCAATGGCGCTATTATGTTGAACATGTTCCACATCATCAGTCAAGATATCAAAAGTCCATGACTTGAAGTTCAATCCATAGATCGCGCTTGCAGGTTCGATCTGGCTGAGGCTGAGATAGTCGAGGTTAAGAACGAAACAAAGTATGGCCATACGGGTGAAGTTGTTGATTTGATGTACCACATCCTCGAGGATCTCACGGCGTGCCTTGGTATGATTGAGGTCGTCCTTGTCTTTAGGTTTAAAAACCATCCTGATGGTGATGCTTGTCACTCGATGACGATAATTTGGTAAAGTCTTGATTAAACTCTCAAAGACCGTCGGCGATATATCGTTCATGAAGTCCAGAGTTATGCGCAGAAACTTCTTTTTGGTATCAAATTCAAGAAGCTGGTGATTCATGTTGATACTCGAAGCTTGGTTTGCAGAATTCTTGGCAGACGTGGTACTTTGTTTACTAGACATGTTGGTATTGTAAAAGTGACTAAAGTATGTAGATTATTCAAATAAAGAGGTTGTGGATGTTCGATGTGCATATAGTTGTGTTTGTGAGACTGATATTCAGTGGTGTGATCGAAGCCAAAATGTGGTTCGAATAGATTTGGAGGAAGTAGCGGCGCTCTCGAGACTATTTATGTCTCTGAGGTCAAATAAATGGTTGAAGAGACGCCTAAAGTTTATAAAGTCAGATGTACGGTATATCATGTACCGCACTTTCCCCCAGAGCTAGGTTACGGAGGAAGGTACATAGGTCAGACCAGGAGGTCGAATATATAATACCATTACCTCATCGTATTGCAGAATTGAGGATAAAGGCACACAGTCTAGACATGAAGTTATGGAATACTCCTAAACTTCCACTTGATTTCATTTAGCCTGTAAAATCCCTTTACTTGCCTTATGTTCCATAGCTTAGAGTTGACATAGAAATAGTCCAAGAATATCATTTCATTAAACCTTTATGAGATTTTACAAGTCTGTGGAGCATTTCTTGGGGTTTTCAGACAAACAAGGTTGAAAACAGAAGATCAAGTTGATTGAATAAACACTTCATTGCATTCTTCTGTATGGTGTAGGATCATGAAAGATGGAACTTTTCATCTAATCAGTTATTCCCTGCATCCAGAAGCTGCTCGTCCATCGTTACCAAAACGTCCCTTCCTGCGAAACAACCCATCCCACATTTATGCCTTCCTTGTGACCAAAGTGTCTATGCGTCTCAAAGGAATCCATTCTCCGTGAAAAGTCAATTGAGCACCATTCATGCAGCTTTCATCCCATGAAATATATATGCATATTCATGACAAGCAATAGCTACCATGTCTCCAACTCCCCATAATCCCGAGTTTGGCACACTTAATTATTTCTTGCTCCCTCATTGCCCTAAGCTCTCTCACTCACGGTCTCTCCTTCCCCTTATTACCCTACATGCCCTGCCTATCCATGTAATTTTTTTCCGCTGCTCGTAACTGGCGATCAAGTCTTGAGTTTACTAGAATATGTTGAATTTCTCGATACTTCACGTTCAGATCGAAAGCCCAATCAAGAAACTTCGGATTGTAGATTGAGGACGCGGAGCTGATATGTTCCCAATTGAAACGATCAAGCTCAAGACAGATTGTGATTTCCTTGACATGTGGGAAATGATTGATGTGTTCAACAACTTGAGCGAGGGTAGCTTTTCTGTTGACTATCTTGGTATCCTTGTACATAAGCTTTAAATCATCTGCAGATGAATGATGTCTGTCTCATCGGCGTATTTAGGGATGATTTCAACTAGTGCATCGAATATTTCCTCTTTGGCGGCTGACATAGACGTGCAGAAGTCTAGATCTATGAAAAGAGCTCCATTGATGGCGGCATATTCGATCAGAGAATGTGTGGGCATATCTGCAACTCGCCCAGCGCGGCGTGTGGCTCTGTCCCGGGGGTTTGCGTTCGGCTTGGGCCCCATAATATTAGGCATTTTGAATGATTTAAAGGTAGATATAGATAAAAATATCGCTCTATGAAAGTGTAGGAAGCTTGTGTTGATCGTCTTTTCAAAGGTGGAAGATGTTGCAATACGCTGGAGGATGATGGAAGTCAACTTCGAACATTACGATTCCTATTTATGTTTCAACAGGAAAACACTGACACAGAGGGAATGTACATGTCGTTCCTAGCTATCGTACTTAATATTGTAACAGTCTGAGAAATTGGTGAAAAAGATCTAGGAATGCGGCTAACGAGTATAGATGTTAAATACAACATCATGAATCTTAACTGTAATCCAGGCGAAACATTTTCATTACTGTGATAACCAATGGGCGAGGGAGATTCTGCTTCAAACCGCTGCTGATAATAACTACCTAGTTGGCTCAGCATTTATAAAGTTACCAACTCCTTGATCAGACTGATAAATTACAGCCTGAAGCTTGATCCGAACGAATCAGTGGCAAAACCAGACTCATCAAAGGTAGTGAAAAATGAGCAGAGAATCTATAAAAGTCTGTATCTAATATATTTAGCTGGCGGATATAGTAATATTAAATACATATAATTACCAACAGTTGAGAACATAAATACACATTTATCATGGACATTGCACAGCAAATAACAAAGAACAAGAGAAGTATTTATCGAAGTCATCATTAACTTTGGTTCTGATCTCGCGTTCTGTGGAGCTAGCCATCTTTCCCATACATCCTTGACGATTCTGCGATATTCAAGAATTCCCCGTTCACAAAATGACTTCCTTCTAAGAAGTCCATCCCATCCTGACCGATTTGTATATAGTGGTTTGTAGAGGCATCCAAAGGTGAATATCGCCCTTCGCAAGATGCATCCAAGAACAACCATAGCTCATATTGGTATCAAGCAATCGCAGGTTCAGCCATATCCTCAGTGCCTGGATTATATCCCCTTACAAAATTGCCTCCATCACCCAAAAAATCCTGCCCTTCTCCGTCTTATTGTCGTGTCTTGCTCAAGTATCAGTGACGATATCTCGATCGAAGACATCTATCAAGAGAAGAGCCGGGCAAGATATATCTACCTCGGCGTCTATTGTCCATAAAAGCAAGCTCAGATTGCCCAACATTGAAAGCGCGACGGGAAGGCAGCGTACGGATTCCGTAAAGAGCAGATGCGAGGTCAGCCACTTGATCCCAGTGAAAGCGATCAACACGTAGACAAGCTCTGAATTTTGTCAAGTAGGGGAATTCGTTTATCTCTTCCACGACACGGTCGATCACCAAGTGTCTAGCCTGAGTCAGGCGGAGATCGTCCTCATTACGGGGTCTGAAGAATAGGCTCAAGTACAGTATGTTGGTTTCTCTGGCATATAGGGGAAGTATGTTGATCATTTCTAGTAAATGGTCTAAAGTTTCCCCATCAGGGTTGGGGCCACGTGAAAGAAAGTTCAAAGTTACGGTGAGTTTGTTCCTATCGGGAAAAAAGTTAATGTACTGATTTTTAGGAATGTGCGCAAGTCGGTCTGCTTCGCTGGTAGTATTATCGTTTGGAACCATCGCTGATGTTGGTGATGCCATTTTCCCTAGTGATATGACTACGATAGAGCTACATAAGACTGTGTTTGAGGATTTGCAGGTTGGTGGGCAAAAGTACAGATGGACTTGGTGATGAAGGGCTCTCTTTTTGGTTGAAAATAAAATGAAGGGAACCGAATACTCGCGATGTATTTATGTCAACGACACTATTATTTTGATTATATCTACTGTATAACTCAACGCGTATCTTCTGTTGTGTTCGAATGCTGTCTTTGATAATGGTCTCGTGCCATACTGAGAGAGCCAATAGAAAACGAGGCCCCTTTTATCTGCCGTAGCGAGGACATTCATGGCCTTGACAGATACTTTGTCTTCAAACAAGGAGGTGTATATTCACAATGATGTTCATAATGATGTTCATAGTGATTTTTATAGTAATGTTTATAGTAATGTTTATAGTGATGTTTTTTCAAGTCAGAGATACTAGTGAAACACTTTGACATAGGGTTCGAGATAATGTGTGGAGGTAGAGTTTGTATCATTTGGTTGATATGTTGTGAATCTGAATGAATTACGCAGAACCTGGATGTACAAAAGAGTGATTGCGAAGGTTATCGGTGAACGACCTTTTTGTAGGATGGCTTTGAATTTGACAACCAAGCTGTAGAAGAAAGAGTAACGTGTTGTAAAAGAGATAAAGCAAGCTAGCATATTTAACATGTGTGTGAATCAAAGGTCTGAGATGTTGAAAACCAAGCCGTACCATACTTACCGCCGGATAGAAGCGTAGAGAAAATCAAACAGGTCAATTAGCCAACCGTAGCACTTTAAGGTATTTATGCTATATTCCATGTCTTTGTTGACCATACTGTGGTATTCAGCAACCCTGCTTTTTCTGGCTGGTGACTACCTCCAAATACAACCAATGCATGCAACTGGTGATGCAGAACTATCTGTCTACCACTCCTAGCTCATTATGCATTCTCAATCCTTTCCGCCAGTCAATATATCAAGCTAACTATGCTGTGGGAATTTTAGACAGGATACTCGGATTTTATGCTGCTTCTAGGCCGCGCGAGTGTACTACCTCAATACCACAATTGGGAGCAGCAAAACCGTTGCTACGATTTCAGGATGCGGTAAGGTTTATTCTAATGGTAAAAAATACCATGTCCAACGAAGAAAGGATATCAGATTCTGAAAAATTCGATTTCCAGGTACAACGCGGGCGTTTGATCATGTATTAATATCGAGGCAGGGGGTTATAACTTATGATTACGTAATCCTTATCGGAACTAGCACGATAAACAGCTCTTCCGGTAGTGAGCTTTTTACCACCACTCAACCATTCATTCCATTTTCACTCAATGATAAGAATTCCCATCTTTCCAATATATATCTCACTAAAAATTCAGGTGTGCTTCTTGAAGACTTTGATAAGTCCGTCTATCCACCCATCCATCCATTCATCCACCAAAAGCGGAGAGAAGAGCCAGAGGGTGATGAATCCGGATCTGGCGGTTATTTTCATATTTTATGCAATAACCTTATCCTGTTATTTATCCGAAGTAAAATCGATGATCATCAGATGGTAAATCAACATGAGTTATAGCCTAACACATTTATGTGTGGTAGAGCTAGCTATAGGTCATTATTGGATTTTCGATTGCTTGAGCATGGCAATTGCAACTGGGATGCTATCATTTGTTGAATGATTTGAAGCAGAGATGCTTAAACTTGTCAAACACAATGCCACGACCACGTAAGTTTCCATCGTTATACAAGATCGGTAGGGTCGATATTCGGAATATCACAGCTATGATCATGAAGGCAGAAGGATCACGTGCATCAATGCGTGAAATCACCAAGTTGGAATCAAGATAATTAAAATTGAAAGCGGATCATATTTTCTCTAGTCTCCTTTAATCTTCCACTAAAACACCGCCTTTGGAGCAAATGCCTCCAAAAGGCTCATGCTAAAACATATGTACACAGACGAATCAGAACGCCCACTTCCCAGGCCACACCTCTTGCTCTACACCTGTACCCACACTTCAAACCGACACCCGCTTATGCTACATAGCCGACAAGGGTCTTGAAGTATTCAACGTAAGCAACACCGGTAGGTGGCTCGAAAGAGTAGATGTAATCACCCCACCATGGACCAGCACCCCACCACAAAGCACCCAACCAGTACTCGTTATCGGCAGCCATAGCATCCAACATACCAGAGATAGCAGATTCACAGTCAGCGTTAACACCACCGGCAAATTCTCCGAGGACACCCTTCTTGTTGTTGGCCTTGAGCCAGGCAGTGGCATCAGCGATGCGCTCAGCACCAATGGTGCTGCTCACACAGGTGGCGGAGGTTCCGGATCCATCGGAGTCGAGGTATTGATGGAATTCATAGATAAGCTTGTCTTCTGGATCAGTGATGTTCAACATGGAAACGGCGTTTCCAGATGAAGTCCAGGTCCATGCACCAGTGTACGAAGTTCCTAAGTAACATGTTAGTATTCAAATGCTAAGAGAAGTTTCACAGTGGACTTACCCTCAACAAAGATGTATTGGGAGGTTGCGCCAGCGCCACGAACAGCAGTAACGCATGCTTGGTTGAGCTCAGCGTAGATAGTAGCGGTAGGTTCGTCGTGGAACTCGTTGTTGCAGTCAAAGATGACTTTGTCGTTTGTGGCAAACACAGCGGCGAGCTTGCTCCAGAAGCTTCCAAAGTCGGAGGTGGAGGTGATAATGTTACCGTTGTAACGTCCAAAGTTATGAGCGTCCAAGACTGCGCTGGCACCGGCGGCGGTAATGTAATCGACGACTTCCTTGTAGCTAGCAAGATAAGTGGCATCAAGGGTAGCGGTTAAGCTGCCTTGGGCCATACGCTCAAAGAGGAATGGAAGACGGAAAATGTTCATGCCACCATCGATCAAAATTTGGATAGCAGAAGTGTTTGGGAAGGTGTAATCGGTTCCTACTACACCTGGGAGGTTTCCCTGTCCAAATTCGGCTCCAGACTCGCTAGCTCCGATCCATTGCAACTTTCCAGAAGTAGCAGCGCTGGATGGTGCAGCAGGATGAGAAGCGACAGCAGCCTTGGAAACAGCAGCGCTGCTTGTTGAAGCAACCGAAGTTGGAGCAACAGCTGGGGTGCTTGATGGTGCAATTGAAGAGGCGGCAACAGAGGGAGTTGGATCGGCATCGCAGCTCTCATCGTCAACAACAGCTACCGGAGCTGCGAAAGCGGATGTTGCGAGGCCACCGGCCAAAATGAAGTTTGCGAAACGCATAGCGTAAAATTGACAAAAAAGCGCGACTGAAAACTGGAACGAACCGAATGAATGACTTTAGTGAGAGTGATAAGGAAGAGGAAGTAAGAGAGGAAGAAAGCTTAAATAGGGAATGAGGAAGCATCTAGTGCGGAGATAAATCAGATGAAAACTGACGACGATGTCCACTTTCATCGATTAATTAACCTCATTCGCCCCCTCATTTAGTTCTCATTTAGTGGTGTCAACTAATTCCAACGGTAGCCAACGTTCCGTGCCATATCGGTACTTAATTTCATGGTTCTTCTCTTTTTCTGGACCCGGCGTTTCGCTCATATTCTGCAAAGAGATAAAAGGTATGTAATTATGACGCGGTTAACTAAATTACGGAGTATAAAATCAGCAAAGTCGTTTATGTGTGATTCCTCGGTGTTTTGTTTATGCAGGGGGGTGAAAGAGAATCAACGAATCGCTGTCTCGGGTTTGTCGCTAGAGGAGTTAAATATGGGGGGGATAAATGGATTTAATATCCAAGCTTCTCTATGTGAAACTTCTCTATCAATAACCATCTGTATTACGGAGAATTTCTTCAACGTTCCATGTCAGCATATTTCTCTGTTCTCCAAACATAGAAATCTAATTACTTTCAAATCTCCGTGTCAATAGTTCGCCCATTCAAGTTCAAGTCATCCCACTCTTCTCATTCATCCCCATGCGGAGAAAAACTTAAAATGATTACATTTCCCTAATCTAGAGCCTACATGGCCCTATTGATGAGTCCCACGTTATTTCTCCGGAACGTAGAGAAAAATATCCGAATCCTCAAGGGGGGCAAAACAGCGGCAAAAGATCCTTCAAGAAGTTCAAGTATCGGTGTCAACGGTGTCAAAAAACTTTGTTTCTGATTATGGTTGCTTAACTAATTTATCCTCTTGTAAGTTGTGGGTCAGTACCTTTAAAGTTCTCCTCCTCAACTAATCAATTTGATGCCATGCCTTTGAGTGAGACCGGACGTGTGTTTCGAAAGTAAATTTGGGGTCAGGTTGTTGGCAATATGCATCTAACTGAATTCAAACTCTATGTTGAATGAAGTTTTACCCCGGATATTGGCAATGTTTTCGTAGATCGGCCATTTCTATGGCATGATCCACTTCTAAATGTCATTCTCCGGGCCGCACAACCGACCTGGACAACCGAGGAAACGGGAATACAGCACAAAGGATATCATGTCGAATGGCTACTCCGCGTGTCTAGCTATTGATCATAGTTCCGCTATCCTCAAAATCTAAAAAATGATGATTTTGACATCATCTCTTTCTCTTTTTCAGTTTCTACTTCCCTTACCCAGTCCCACTTCTCGGCTAGAAACAACTTCTTCGCTGCTTTTTCTACACCTAGTGATCTGCCACCAAGCATAAGATCGTCTCTACTTAAGCTCTTAAAGTCGAAGAATTTTCCTGATCTTTCCTCTCCTACTGCTTTGCCTCCCACAACGAATGCTTTTTTGACGCTGCTGTTGTTTGTCGAAGGACTAGGAATCCAAGTCTGGGTGGATCTCTCTGTTTTCCATAATTGGACCTTGATGCCGATGCCAGCATCCATACATTCTTTGATATAGTCCAAGGCAGGGAGTAATTTACTACGTAAACCACAATGACCATGATTTTTATCAATCTGATAACTTGGGCATTGTCGTAACAAGTTAATAAGCTGCTCAGCATCACCATCATATGCTTTCGGCCAAAGGAAATCTGGGTCGTCTGGAGAGACCGCTTGGAATGGAATGAGCGAGAGGAGATTTTTCTTGGTGAGGAATTTCACCATTTCACCAAGCTGGAAGGAATCGCATGCGGCTGACGAATCATAACCTAATTTACATTGCTGTATCCGAGACATGTATAGTGAAAGTAAATGTGTCTGGAGAGAGGATATCGTCAGAATAATGCGAGATCGGCGATAGGAAAGCTCAGCTGCAAACTATTAGTTATGTCCTCAATAGTAACTTGCAACAAGTGTTTCTCGCCTTCTAGATCTTCTGGCAAATCCCACCAAGCCGCAGCAAGGTTAGAATCCGCTTCCTCGTAAATCGACCAACGAGATGAACCTCGAATGATGAGTTCCTTTGTGGCTGTGGAAAATCGCAATGGCTGATTTGTGTGGTAAAAAATCATGATTTTTTGCCTAACAACTTCTTCCGTAGTTTTTTCGAGCGTTGGTGGGTATCGGAAATTTGAGAATCTGCCTGTGATGTATCGTGCAATTGTAGCCATACAATCATATCTATCTGCCATAACCACCAAGATAGCGATATAGAGAAGAGTAATAGATTTGCTGGAATGATCCATGCCATGAATCATTCTGAGCATGTCATGGAAAACTGTTTCCCTCCCAATAGTTCTCGTTGCATAATCCTCATCTTTTATTTGTATCTTGGGAAGTTCCTCCGCCGGTAGCTTCGAAGCATCTTTGCCCGATAGAGACAACTCTGTAAATTTGGCAGATATAGCCCGACCTTCTTCAAATACATCTGAACCAAGAAGATGTCCGAAGTACTTGGAATGCTTTTTCAAAGTATCGAGACGAACGCGATAGAACACTCGTGCGGAGGGAAATGGAGTTTTGGAGGTCCGTAGCTTTTGGATCATTTCATTCGGTATCGACTTTGTACAAGCTTTCGTGTTTTCAAACAAAACTTCTAGAATGACATTTCCGCCACTTCCTACGTCGACCACCTTATGTTCTGTGCCATCCACATGTATACAATCTGCCATTTCTGCAGGCGCAGTATCGGAACTGGTAGCCATTATCTCTATACTTTATCGTAGGCAAAAGTTCCCGGGGCTTTATTTGTTATTCTGCGTTGGATTAAGAGCAACTGTAAGTTCATAAAATAGATATGGCGTAAGGCTTGTCGTTTGCATACGCCACCTCAGAAGCTTGCAGATGAATTTTTGTTCTTGTAACTTCGACGAGCTACACGACGAAAGTGTTTCAAGGATAGGGCCAGGCCATCATTCGAATGTTTGAGAGAAAGGTAATGGGCGAAGGGAAATGTGAATGGTTGTACTCTACCAAAGTATTTCGATACTGTAGTTGAGGATATATATCCGATGTTCGACCGGCAGCATCTACAATTAGTAATCGCATTAATAGAAGGGAGAGCTTGGACCACAATGTAACTGTCGGTTTGTCGGTTATAGTATTTCATCGATCATGTGATGTGTTGTGTTATGAATGTGATGTGACAAACCGGTGAAGGCCTGTAAGAAAAGTGATGCGATCTTTATCTCATGATGGAAAGTGGGTTGATGGGACTACAGATGTGGTGTTCTCGATAGGAAAAGAGAGCTGACGGAGAGTGCTTGCAAGGATATATGAATCAAGATAGAAGCTTTAGTTGGAGCTTTAGTTAGCTTTAGTTAAAGCTCAAATATCTTGAGGGAAATCCTGTAATTATTCTCATGATTAAATTCTTGGTAATAATCCTTTCCAGTGACTCGAAACTCCAGCTCGACCTATCCCCACATTGCCTCAGTTTTGGCCATAACACCTCATTTGTCACAAACACGTTTCATCTTCATGTTTCATCCCCATATACCTCGAGAACCCCTTATTCTCCTATCTATCTCGTGCTTTGAGGGAAATTGCTAGTTAGCCTAATATCCAAGAAGCTTTTACCTTCTCGTTGAGCAGGGAATTCTCCCTTGAAAGTCTTGCTAAGGGATACCAATTTACAGATTGAGCTCTCATTATCAGGCTGAACTTTAGACACGGCTTCACTCCAGGACATGGTGGTTAGTGGGCTAACCTCAAGCGAGATGAGCTCGAACCATCACTTCGAATTCCCACATAAAGGGATTCCTCAAGCTTTCAAAAGCAGTGATTATCAAATTCATCTTTCAGTATGAGCTTGGTGGAGCATTAGATCTCTGGAGAGACAAGTGTTTGCACCTCTTCAAAATCATAACTCTCGAGTACATACAGTACTAAGTCTAGTACTCTACTTCTGGGCCACCCTTTAATATAGGTCACTTTCCTCACCAAAAATAACAAAAATCGACTTATATGTTAAAAGGAATGACCTTACACAGGGAATAGTGGGAAGCTGACAGGGCAGAACTGAGGCTATATTGGGCTTTTATATGAATCACACATTGTCTCTATTCTACAGAAGTGCGAAGCTCTTCTACAGAGAGCCTCTCAATCTAGTCCTAATAGGACTAGTGCCTTGTGCACGTGCTACGCAGAAACCATTCCTTTTAACATGTGATACCT